ATGTCCCAGCCTTGTGGTCTCAGCTCTGACCTTCCACACTTAGGCCCACACAGTACCAGCCCTGCCCCACTTCCTGTCTGTCCTCAGACACAAGAGCTTCACTCAGGCAGGGCCTGGGTGTCTACCAGAAAACTGAGAGTGAACTCATTTGCATGGATGGACCCTCCCTTTTCACAGAGTATCAAGAGGGCCTGGGGCGATGAGGAAGCTCTGTAGCAGCAATAAGTCAAGTGAAGATAGGAGTCAGGGGAATCTCCACCATGACCTGGGGCCTTCACCTCATCTCCCTCCTTCTTAACTGCACAGGTGACTTGACTGGGGTCAAGGAAGGAATCGCGGGAAGATGATTGGGATTCTGATTTCTCCTCCTTCCTCTGGACTCCAGGGTCATTACTTCTTCTGTCTCCCCACTTGCAGGATCCTGGGCCCAGTCTGTGCTGACTCAGCTGCCCTCAGCGTCTGGGAACCTGGGCCAGCAGGTCACCATCTCCTGCACTGGGAGCAGCACCAACCTTGGCAGTTACTATGCAAACTGGTACCAACAGCTTTCAGGCCAACCCCCTAAACTCCTTGTCTACGGTAATAACAAGCGACCCTCAGGGATCCCAGACAGATTCTCAGGTTCTTATCCTGGCAATTCAGCCTCCTTGACTGGACTGCAGACAGAGGATGAGGCTCTTTATTACTGTGGATGCAGGGATGATAGCTCAGGGTTCATACAGTGCTCCAGGCCTGCAAGGAAGTGATACAAGATCCCCTTTCTCACCTGCCAGGAGGGAAACACACAGCTGCTCCTGTTCAGTTCCTCCTGGGGCTTCTGTTTGTTCATGTGCTGTTTCTACCCTGGCCCAGCTGCTCTGTGGGGACCACTTGTTGGGAGGTCCCTCCTGTTCCTTCTGTCTTCAAAGTCATTCACTGAAAGTCCTTCCAGATGAAGTGGCTCAGAGGAAACTCTTCTTCCTTCAATTTTAGAAACCAATTGTTTGTTTTAAAGCCTGGGACTGGGTGCAGTATCCAGCTGTGACCAATACAGACTTGTTTGTGACTAGAACACGCTGAGTCTCCATCATTGGCTCTTTCTGTTCCTAGGAGTTTTCAGAAGTACTCCACCTGCTAAGTGATCTTCAGTGAGGTTCACTAAAGTTTGTGCAGGGTGTTGTTGTTGCTTTTGTTTTAAATTTTTGTTTATTTATTTTGCATATAATTGTTGCACTTCTCCGACCAGCAGGAAAGTGCTGGACAACAGAATGAACTACTCAACCCTTTAGTGCATCAAGACGTAAGGGGAGAGGAACTCATGGTTGAGTGGACCCCCAACCTGTTCATCTTCATATCTTTTTAAAAACATTTCTTATTATATAAGTGGTAAAATAAGTTAATTGGGCTCCAAGAATTTTTTTATCTTTTTTAAAAATTATTTGCTGATCTTCTTTTTTCCATGACCACATCTTTATCAGAAGACAGCATTAGTGTGAGAACCAAGATTTTCCACATATACATATCCATAAGGCAGAGTGGGTTTGGTGGTGGGTTTTTTTCCCTTGCTTAGTGCAGAATGTTCTTTTGCCCCAATTTTATTATTTAGATTACATTCTTTTAATTCCGGCAGCTCCTGTATCGCTCAGCTTAACTCCAATATCTCCCTCTTTTTGTTTTACAGATTTTTTTATGTGCTCATCCATGTTTATTGTGACATTATTCACAATAACAAAGAGATGAAAACAATCCAAGTGCTAATCAACAAACAAATGGATAGAAAAACTATGGTACATTGATACAGTGAAGTAACCCCACAAAGAACTGGTGAAATACTACACATTGTAAATGTATCTAGAAGACATTATACTGAGTGAAATAAATCAGTCACCAATGGTAAAATACTGTGTAAGACCACTGTCATAACAGTCTATAGAAAGACTTCCACTCAGAAAGAATAACTCTAATATTATTATCAGGAAGCGGAAGGAATGGAGTCGATAATTAATAGATACACATTCAACACTTATTGTGATGAGTGAAAGGAAGTACAGTGTGGAATGAAAAGCTGATCAGATGTTTTGTGAATTGTAATTGGTATTGTGAAACAAAATAATGTATTACAGATTGTTTGGAAATAAAATTTAAAAACCACAACATACTTTTTACATATTTTTTAAGGTGTAAAATGTATTATTTGCTATATACATTAGGCCTCAGTACAGTTATGAAGGTATATTTGACAGAACATTTTTTCCCCTTGGTTCACAAGTTTAATAGAAATTACAAAAGATTAATACTTTCAGGTCCCACTACTACTGGTACATAATACACAACAGATGGCCTATCCAACAGTATAGCTCAGGCCATTAAGAACGTTTTCCTTCCCAACCTCTGCTGGAAAAGACCTATCCTATCACACACCACATCTTGGCCAAGTCTAGGACCTTGTGTTTTAAGCACGAAGAATGTACAAAAGATGTTTTTGTTCTCAATCCTGCCCACTGCAGCCTGGACAGGACATTTTAAGGACCAAACAATAGGCAAAACAAATGTCTTATAAAAGGGATTATTACTTGCTAGTCTTTTTGAGTACTCTTCTTCTTACACTCTTCTTAGACAATGAAATGTTTAAACTTAATTGTCTAAGAAGAGTGTTCTTACACAAACACAAGAATTTACTCTAATGACTTAGATTTTGCCAGTGAGGCAGAATGGTGAAAGGCAATTCTTCTCTGCTGTTAGATCTGCAATCTGCTTTGGGATGGAAGTTCTAAGAGTTGTTAAGGGAATGGGGAAGAGGAGCACTCTTATCTATCTCCTGCTGGAAGGGGTCTTTATTTGTGAACAGCATTTAGACTCTTTCGGGTAGAGGCTGATTCTAAGGTCCACAGAAAATCTGGGAGCTCATGTGAGGTTCCATGTCCTGATAATTTCCATTTTTTTTTCAGTTAGCATAATTTTCTACTGTAAGCAGTATAATCCAAAAGATACAAACTTAAAAAGCATGTTAGAAAGACAAGCTCTTAGCCAAGATAGTGGGGACAGGTTTTGCATTTTTTTAAGAATGTAAACAGCTATTTATTTTGAAATAAGATAAAACTTTTAAGCGTTAACTTGATTGTGAACCCTTGTCTGAATGTTCCCATTTTAAAGACCATCATAACTTAAAAATGTTTTTGTTTTTTATTCCCTTTACACTTTATTCACTTACTTTTACTTTTTAGTCACTCATTCTTTGTTGTTGCTTGTAGTCCTTTAAATTTCATATTTCCCAAAACAGAAAATGCAGAAGAGATAGACATTTCATAATTATCCAAATAATATTCAGGACCTATCTTTTTTTTTAGGACCTTTCTTACAATTGCATATACATGTTAATAAATCATTTAACTAATTGTGCTATTCAGTGATACAGTAATGCTAACTTTCATGTCACTTTAGTCACTGTTGGTTCTGTATCATTTTAGAATATAATAAGTGATCTTCATTTTCTTTCTTCTTATTTTTCAACAGCAGTTGAAAATGAGCAGTCTCTCTAATAGTCAGTTAAATCTGTGCTCTGCCTTCAGAAAATAACTCTAGCTCAATTATGATGAGCAGACAAAGAGAAAGTTTCACTTTGGAAAAGATAACCGAACCTCACTTTATATGAGCCTGAAAACAAAAATGTTTATATCATCATCAATGTTGCTGTTCCTTGATATTTATTTTAACACATTGACTTCTATGGGTTATTTCCTATCACAAGAAAGAAAAGAAAATTCATCCATCTTGTGTGTCTTTTTTTAAATAAAAATGAAAAAATTTTGGATATTATTTAAGATAAAACTAACAGTAATCATATGAGAAGGAATATTTATTTTAAAAATGGGTGATTTTCTACATAATGACATTTTCACAGAAACAAGATACCAGTCCTGGACATTTCTTAAGGAATGAGATGGCTAATATTTTTCAAAAAAAAATCACTCTATCAAAACATTTAAAAGTATTCTATAGAAATGAACTGGCAAACATTTTTGCTTTGAAGTATTTTTATCTCATTAAAAGTCTTCTAGGGACTTTGCTGGGAGATCTGCAAGGACAGCAGAGGCAGTTTCAGGCCAGGGCTTGCGACCCAGCCTTCCTGTCTGCTACAACTGCAGGTCCTGACTACAGTT